AACAACAAATATACAAGCCAAACAAAAAAGATGGTTATCTACAATTGCTAATACCAAATGAGAAAAATTGACAATGATGAATTGTCCATTTTTTTGTAAGAAAATAAATAATTTAAAATGAAAAAAATGTCAGTTTAAGGTGGACAATTTGCAATTGTTCAAAAATTCAATAACGTATTTGAAAGAATTGTGTAATCTATCCACTTTTCAAACAAATGGAGAAAGTAATGAAAGAAGAGACAACTATAAGATAGAAATGTAGATGAAGTGGTTTTGCCAATTACAAAGAGATTCTTAAAATCTTAAACTAAACCTAAAAATATCAAAAAGATACTAATAAGATTAAAGATGGTCTTATTCTTGCATCTATTTTTAATAGCTATAATAAAGGTTATGTTGTGGCTTGTCTAGAATTGCTATGCTTATGGAATATATGCAATAATGCAATTATTAGATTGATTTTTAATTGTAACATTTTTGTTTTCAAACATTCATTCAAACTTTTTGTTGTTGTTTGGTTCAAAACTTATGCTTTCAAAGCAGATATTATCATTGGCTTTTTTGTTTGTATTTTATTCTCTTTCTATGAAAGTTTTCATGGTTACATAATTGGCATTTTAATTAAAACTTTACAATAGAAATTTCATTTGTAAAGAAACATGTTTATACAATATGTTTCTTTTAAATTTCTTTATTTAATTTCTTAAGTTTTCTTTGATTTTATAATTTTTTATTTATAATTTTATTTAATTTTTTTAATATATTATTAGATAAGAAATAATTATAATATGTTTTGTTTTTAAAGTACCATGAACATAAACAATTAAACTCAATTTATAATAGAATTCATAATATATAAGATCATTATTTTTTTATAATGTTTGATTATATTTCACACAAGTGTTTACATAATATATTTTTATACACACTTTTTCATCAGCTTCTTGTATCTTATTAAATTATACATCTTACTTCAATGATTCAGTTGTTTTTACTCTTAAAATAATAAATTTATTAAATAAAAGATTGACTTAGCTTTGAATGTGGCATAACAATTACATATTCTTAGGTTTTTTTAAGGAAATTTATACAATATAATTTAGTAAAAAATGTCACCTTATGTCTAAATGTTTTAAGAAATAGGGATTAGAGTTTTTTTTTGCTTAAGGAGGGAAATACTCGTCAAGGCTTGTACAAAAATAATAATAATTAGTGATAAATAATTAAAGATATTCGGCTTATTGATTTAGATTCAATTTCAATATAAAAATTTAAAAACACATTTTATTATTTTGTGGAGTATAATATGTTAATTATATATATATATATATATATATATGTATTTAAGAGTTTATTCAGAAGTTTGTTTCTAAGAAGTATAAATGACAAAATGAAGCTTCACTTCTTTTATCAATTGCATTAGAACTAGAGAATGAGTTTGGATATTAAAAAATACATATTATTTGAGTTGCTACCTTAGAAAAGTGCCAAGTTATGTTAAACATTTAGTTAATAGGTCAAATAGTTTTGGAAACAAAAGAAAACTATGGATTTTTTACTTTTTACATTTGATGGTTCCATGATGTATAGATTGTCATGTTATGACATCTGTCTTTTGACATATCAAGTAAATTGTATATAAATCACATATTTTAAGTTAAATCTTAACAATCTGCATAGCATAGAAGGTACTCTGTAAGTAGTCTTAATTTCCACACTAGAAAGCATTTGAATTATTTTTTTTTTGTTTTTTTGTTCTATTTGATTATTATTGTTATTATTATTTTTGTCTAGCAAGAACTTGGCCATACATACCATCGAACAAAAATTATTTGGAAAACATTAATTTTTATTTATCTACCAAAATACATTATTGATAGTATAAATTAATATGGTTCATGTTGACTTCAGAATAGAATTTCTTAAATTGCAACTTGGAATAGGATTTATAATTAGATTACAATCGTTCCTTAAATATGTGACTTCTTGTGCTATATTATGCACTTGTGATGTTTGATATAAATCAATAAAGATCATCATCTTGAAATACTAAATATAATAATGGTTAATATGCCAAATTGATTTTATCTTTCATACAATCTATATAGCATTTGAATTAGATATTAAAATTTTATCTCAATGACAGTTGTATATAATATAGCCATTAATCTTGTAGCACAAATCATCTTTGCTAGTATGTTTTTTTTGAGTGGGGCTCTTTTATCCTACTTTGTGACACTTGTCTTCTCTAGAAGATTACAAATATGTCATAAAAACCTTCATTCTGCAAAATCATTTTTAATCTATACCAATTAAGTTTACAAGATTCTTGCATAAATTAATGAGATTTTTAATCTATTGAATATGGACGTCAATGATAAGATGATCAACTATCACATCTAACCTCACTTGTAAACAAACTAACCTACACATGATAAAAGAAGTATCAATCTAGATAATCTAATACTAATAATAGATATCAAAGAAGAATTAGATCATATTTTTGAGATGATTTTTTCCTTTTAAACAATAAAATATAATGTAAATTTTTTTAAAATATTATATTATAGTATTAGACTTAATTTATAAGCTCAATTTCTTTAATTAGGAATATACTATCATCATATGTAGTATATGTAAAATACACTTAACTTTCTAATTTCTAATTTCTAATTTCTTTTATAGTATATTCAAGCCTCTAATACAAATAATATTAAGACTTTAGCTTAACTCCAAAGGTTTACATATACTCTTTTTCATTAAATTTAGGTAGTTGTTAAAACCACATCCCAATTTTGTTAAAGCCACACTTTTCTTGCTATTTCATGATTCATTTTGTCTTAGCTCCCAATCTCTAAATTCATTTACAATCCCCATCTCCTATTTCCAACCATCTTCTCTATCCCATCCCATCCCAAAATTTTCCAAAATTCTAGTCTATAATTGACAACCTAATAATTGATCTACTAGAAAAGGATTGGATATTATTTTATTATTGTAAGTACCCCAATTATTGACTTTTGATGGAATTAAAAGAAGCCGTTAAATAAAAAGAAAGAATAAATAAAATAAATAAAAATAGAGTCCAATCTAAGAGCTCTAATAGTTGATGGGCAAGCTTTAGATCAAACCCAATTCTAACAAGAAAATTGGTTCAAAATTGCAAGCAAAGAATATACAATAGCAACAAATATTTTGTTCCAAATTGGCTTCTGTGAAACCCATGGCCACTCAATATTGATACTAGTTTGAAGCCACCACTTTATATTTGAATCTTATATTAAAACTTCAAACTGGCATTGTGTATACTTGGAGCTTATGTACTCTACTTCATACTTGAAAATCATAAATCAATCGACAAAATATAAATCACATGAAAGAAAGAAAAGAATTTCATACCTAAGTAGTTGATCCTTGCTCACTTATTGTATGCTTGTTTCTTTTTAATTTCAAACTTTGTGCAGTGATTAGTGCTATAAGTTGTACATCTCAGATTGTAAGCACTCAGTTATCAATTCTCCCAAAGTTTCCATCATTGAGGATATGTGTAATTTTGGATTTGTAATATAATATTGAAATCTAAATTTTTTGAAATATGATTAAAATGAATTTTCTAGAATCTTGCAACATTGTGAGTTTTTTCATATAGATTTTGAAGCCAATTAGCAGGTTGGAGTTTGCTTGAGTTTATGTTGTTGTTTTGAGCCCGAATGGATATATTACTTTAGAGTGGTGATTAGTTCTAGAAGTATGCAAGCAAAGTTTTGTAACAAAATTAAGGTTTAGATTGGAGTTGTGATAGTACAATATGGAAGTAGAATAAACTTGAAATCATGTTTGGTATTGATATTTAGGGAGGCCAATAGTCTTTTACACTTTGACAGCAAGTATTGTGTCCTGATTACTAGTGTGGTCTTCAGAAATAAGGATTGTTACTAACATTATTGTTTTGGAATACTTAACTACATGATTGTCTCCTAACTAGGATTTGCAAAAGAAATTTTAATTTTGACCTAAAATATATTTATATTTGACAACGCAACACTGAAGCAAATATTGAGGAATCTAGCAAAATCAAGGTGTTTGCATGAGCAAACCAAGGATATTTATGCATAGATTCTCCTGGTTATACTAGAAAGGCATATTTGAGTATATGCATGATTGGGATGGGATAGGGGGTCAAGACTATGGCTAAGAATGGGGGATAGACGTTGGAAATATGGTTGGAAACAGGGGATGCTTACAGAATGAATCATAAGGCAGCACAAGAAGGTGTGGCTTTAACAAAATTGGGATGTGATTTTAACAACTTCCTAAATTTATTGTTTAGTAAATTCCACTTTGTACACACATTTTCTTTTAAGCATGCAAATATTTTACCTTTATTTTATGCACCTTTTATTTCAATCTCATCAAAATCTTCACTACAAGTATATGGACTAGTAGGAGAATATATTTCTTCTTAAAAAAGTATCTTAGTTGTAACATATGGAATAAGTATACACATGGAAAACTTTCACTTAAAATGTTCATGTTTGTTCCTTGTACCAGTATCTTAGATCATAAATTTAATTGGAATAAAATTTAAATCAAAGCACATATATATATATATATATATATATATATACGTGAATACATGTTATTTGACATTCTTAGTATGTTTAAATGTCTAAAAACAAGAAACATGCTCATATTATTAAAGAGTATCTTCAACAGACTAGTTGGAAAAAAAAACTGAATTTTGATATTTTTATATATCTTTTATGAATGTTCAAGTACCATGTATGTAATTATAATTATATAGAAGCGCTATATTCAAATGGCTCTATTTCGTATCTAAATCTATGTTGCACTAGATGATTATTCGGACTGGTAATACTGTAGTTTTATTTGGCCCCCATATTCCAATACGGTACAATTTTCACATGGATACTGCTGGTTCGTGAAGCGTTTGCTGTGGATGTTTATTATGCCATTTCTTTAAGCTTAAGCAGATTATCAAATTGCAAATAGACTGAGAGCTGGTCTTTAGAAATATTTATTTTGTACAACACACTGAAAAGAAAGGCAGGAGTTCTGGAAACATGATGAACTCACTTCAATAACAGCTTATCCAACTCTCTGCTCGCCGTACCCTTATACAGTATTACTAATACCATCAGACTTGGTCAAGATGGCTCAACAAACAGAACCCCGAGGATCTTTCCTAGAGCTGCCCGTCCACAAACACGTTATGGAATAGAGACCGTATAAGACAGCTCTTACCACAAAAAACATTCCTAAAACATTAATGATAGTTCGAAACGACGCAAGAAGGACCCTCAGATCACTACAGTTGGGCTGTCATGAGGTTGCTCATCACCCAACATGCCTTTGAGGCTTTTGGTCAACCAGATAGCTGTCTCACGTGGAGATACCTTGCCCCGACCAAACGGCTTTAATACAATGGCAAGCTCTTCTAACCGATGCTGGGACAGGAGTTGAGCGGAAAGCTCCAACAACCCTTCTAAAGCCTCTGCTCTCTGTCTGTAAGATTTCACATCCAAACCATTCGCATGACGCTGGTGCATGTCCACTTGTGGATGACGACTGGTAACGCTACTACCTGGCGACACAGAGACAACTTCCACATCTGAACCTCGTTGAGGCAAGTCAAGTAGTGAGCCAATATCCATTTTCCCATGAAATGGCTCAAGGTCCGTTCTTCCCGCACGAAAATCAATTTCGCCCATGGTGGCGTAATCCGCATCAGTGTGGGAGTGATCGGATGTTGCTCCAAGTCTGAAAGTACTGTGTCTGATCACATGAATCACGTCATTAAAAGCAGGGCGAGCTGGTGCTGGAGGAGCTGGTGACTTCTCATTGATCTGAATAGTTCCTTTCTCTTGAGTCTTGTCAAAAATTGAAGTCTCCATATGCATTGAGTAGAGTGGCTTGTTTGTCTCAGAGGCAGGTAGAGCCAGACTAGAATCTGGCCTGTTAGGAGACGCTGAGACCCGTGGCTCGGTTGTTTGCTTGGGCATCACCTGTTGAGAATACCGTGGGGAGACAACTGCAATATGACTTCGAGTCGTCGTTGGCATCACGGAAGAAGAAAACTTCGGGCGTTCCATTGGCATCCTAATCTCATGAGATGCGAGTTGGCTTGAATACGGCTCTGGATCAGCTGTCAGTTTGAATTCTGGAATAAGGTCCAACCGAGGGGCATTGACGGAAACATTTGGAGAATGGTTGTTGAGGCCCAATTCTTGTATGATATTTCCACTCTCACTGGGGCTCGAGCGGTTAGAACGCATAGAGGAGCCGTCCTTGTCTGACCTTGAAGTGAGGCTTGACAAACGTTGCAGTGTAGCCTTCACAGTCTCCGCACTGTCATGATCCAGACCGCGTTCAAGAGATGGCGTCTTACGAATGTCGGAACGACGGCCACTAAGTCCAACATCTGAGCGACGACCGCTATGACCAATGTCTGAGCGACGACCACTGTGCCCAATATCTGAGCGACGTCCACTTCCAATATCTGACCGACGATCGCTATGTCCGATTTCTGAACGACGATCGTTAAGTCCAATATCAGAGAGACGGCCACTATGTCCAATCTCTGATCGACGACCACTTTGACCGTTCTCATCATTCTTGATCAACTTGGAAAGATATGCAGGAGGTCCTGCTTGAGCCCGAAGTTTGGGACTAGGTGCACCAGAGCTGCGCAAACTTGCAAGTGGAGGAGACGTCCTCCGAGTAGGAGGAGAGGTTTTCCTCGAGACCTTCTGGGGCAATGGAAGCGAAGACCTCCTCGGAGCACTTGTTACCGCGGGTGTCACAGGAACACGCTGCTTTTTCACCGTCGCTTCCTCCTCGGAACTATTTTGAACCTTGGGAGGAGCAGGAGGAAGTTTATCGGCCCGCCATTTTACTCTTGGAGACTCGGCAGCAATCATCTGGATTGGAAACACTTGTGCAATTAGGCCAGAATATTAAAATGAACAATATCTAAAACTTCTAAACTACTGTACATGAAGATAATGTAAGCGCAAATTTAACATTACAGAAATTTTGACAAATATATGCACCTAGCAAACCAGGTGCCTCTAGAAATGCATACCAATGCCCAATACCCTAACTAGGAAACCTTCCACTTTTTACATTTGAAAATAATTGAAGACAGAATAGCCAACAGAAAGGGGAGGGAAAAGGGAAAAGGGCAATACTACGGTAAAACTATTTTGAAGATCGTTAAGAAAATGAAAAGAACTGAGATTTTTAGTTTGATTAAGTAGATTCACAGCAAGACTTTCTAATTACCAGAGTTCTGAGCAAGAGACTGCAAATCAAGGAATAGCTTACATTCGCTTCTTTTACTTTTGGTACAGGCGGATTATCCATCTGTTTCGGTCTCCGTTTGGTTGGGTCTGACTTGGCTTTCAGCGCATTTACTATTTTAGCTGCTGGTGATGATGTTGGAGGACCCTCGGCAACTGGAGGATTGCGATCAGAGCGGGGAACTCGGGGAGCAGTCTTCTCAGGCAACCTGACAAGCCGATCTTCTTTTCTTTCTCTAGTACCATCAGCTTTTGGTCGTAATACATTGATGGCATACTGTGCAGCCACCTTGCATTCTTCTTTAACCCAATCCCTGTTTGAGCTCCGCACATTCTCCCGTTCAGAAGTCTCTCGAGAAAGCCTAGAGAAAGCAAATAATAAAACGAAAACGGAAATCGTTAACTCATGACGTAGACAGGCCCACCATCGTTAGGGGCAAAAGCATAGTGCTACTGTACAAGACGAAATAGCTAGTGTACATTTCAGGCGAAAACTATGGAATGGATATTGATATGTTGAACTAAAAACGAAATAGGAGAAGCAGAGAATTGGTGCTCCAGTTACTAACCTAGAATTCTCCGTGCCTCCAACACTGTCATAATTCCACGGGTGATCGACACCTTCATCTGCAGGTGGTCCGTCAGTCAAGTCTCCGTACTCAGTATCTCTATCTGGACTACTCTTGGCATCTGTTGTGAAGCTCTCGCGGTCAGTACTGGTATCGACGTTCGTTGTCACAGGATTGACGATTGGTGGTGGAGCTTTTTCCTGCACGGACCGACTTTTTCGTAAAGGCGAATCTGCTGCTACAGGCGGATCTGTTCGTATGAGTGGCTCCGGAGAGGAACACTGTAATGCGGCTTGTATTCGACACTGCATAATGTATGGCTGCATGTGTGGGTGCCTGATCAACTCTGCTGCCTGCAACGACATCAACATCACAAGTAGAATACATCAATAACTGTAATAAATACACACTTGGTGAGACCAAATTCCACTGGATGGCTACCTAGAAAAGAAGTTCTCAACAATCAAGAAATTAATCTGGATGCTGGGAGAAAAGACATTCATTTTCACACATATTTCGTAGGTCAGTACTTACGGTCGGCCTGTGCTCTGGATTCTTTCTCAACATGCTTCTGATCATACTCTTCCTGTAAACCAATTTACAAAATAGAGTTAGCCACAACTCAACCACAGAAAAAAATGAGAATCCATTACTTTCCAATTTAAAAGAGTTGTACTACCTCAATGTGCGGACATCATGAAATTGATATATACACTCAACATGCCCACACAGATTCAGGCTAGAATCGCGACACATGCTAATGTGTGTTCTTGATAGAATACTTACAAGGGGCTTGAATAGATGCTAGGAAGGGGTCCAATCGTAGATTTGTTAATCTTGCTGATCAATCCTTGCATATCCTGCTCAACAATCCAATTTAAAATATGTAGACGGAATGCAGGAAAACAAAAGACTTGTACAGGCATAACTGTACGCTGAAGTGAAGGTTGGAAAAACTTCAGGGAGGACTTTAAATGCTCAAGAGGTTTATACTTACAAAAGCCTTGAACGCCGGACGGTGAGCTGCCATTTCATACATACAACACCCTGCAGACAACAAGATGTCACGATCAGAAACCAGGTGAGGGCTACCAGCAGTAAGTCCAGGACTTGTCTCAACAGAAAGTGAAGAGAGAAATAAGCTGACTACCTAATGACCAAATGTCTGATTTGAATCCATATGGGATGTCTGCAAGTAGCTCTGGACACATGTAATTTGGAGTGCCTACTACCTGCAATAGCAAGAAGCAGCACGTTCCGGCCATTAGTGGATTGATTAACTTCCAAACGAACAGTACGACCGCGAGATGGTAAAAACTATTCACAGCAGCGATCATCATTCCAATGCAAATGATACGAGGTTCACAACGGATTACTTACCGAAGAAGCTAGATCATCTTGGTTTAGCATCTTGGCCAATCCAAAATCACCTGCAATTCAGAAAGACAGTTTGTCATTGAGGAAATCATTTGATGACAAGAACATCACGTTCACCATTATTGAAGGCATCTCAGGACCTACAAGTGCAACAAAGAACGACATGTATAATATTGACTTACCAAGCCGAATATCTTGATCTTTGGTCAAGAATATATTGGAGCACTACAAAACCAATGACCCGTTGAGGATTTGTTAGTAAGACAAATCAAATCCACTGTGTAACCCAGCAACGTCAAAACATTATTCGTCTAAAAACAGAAACCCAGAATTGGTAATTGAATTTTTTTAAAATAGAAGTAAACTGCAAATATTACAGCAGTAGCCTCACAAAAATAGAGAATGATGTGAAAATCACCTTAAGATCACGATGAAGCACGTGGTTGGAGTGCAGATAATCCACAGATAAAAGAAGCTGAGCAAACCACTTCAATAGCCTCTGCAAATAGTCAACAGATACCCGAGTGAGAACAGCTTGGTTGTGTTGTTGGTTGAAACAAAGGTACGAATCTTTGAAGTCCCAGATTTTGTATTCCGTAAAATGACAGAGCGAAGTTACTGGATACAGCTGATAAACCTCAAATCTTTCAAGTAACTTTACAGTGTTCTAAATTCAGAAACTACAAACGAAGTCTTCGAGAACGAAAGTGTCATTACCTCTTCAGAGAAATATTGACCATGCGCTTTTCTGATTACATCAGCCCTGAGAGCAGAAAAGATGGTGTGTCAACAGATCAGGAAAAAACTCATTTGTAAGCTACATTTCAGGAGCATACTGGAAAATATGGTAAGTCATGAAACAAATGCGAAGCACATTTACCGGACATCGGGGAGCTGTAACTCTAAGACACCGACATATCCATGTGAAACATGATGCAGTCAAGCTGGTCCGACACTAAGACTCTAAAAATGAAAGCTGACATCCGTAGAAAAGGTTCACTTACATGTCACCACCTTCACAGTAACCTGTAACGATGCATACATAGCATCCCTGTTGCAAAAAACACATGTAAAAGTTATGCACTGTTCTTCCACTCACAAGTTTATAGAGACAGTACCATTACTGGATTTATTCACCCTGTACAAGCTCATACCTTTTCAACCCACGACTCCTTGTACTCCACAACGTAAGGGTGTTGTACTCTGGATACCAGAGACATCTGTATCGAAGTAGAAATCCAAATCAGGATATTTAACATAAAAAAGATAATAGTCATATCCATCGAAGAAGAACAAATCATTAATTACATAATTAGTGCAGACAAAGAATGATAAAAATACATTTAAAAACTGAAAAAAGCAAGAGATTTCAACATTTCGCAAGGTAAATGAGTGATAATCAGAACCTCTTGATGGGCAGATCGCCGACATCTGTCGGTCTGGCGAGCAAGCCGAATCTTCTTTAACACATACCTGCTCCAAAAATGTACAACAAAATTATCACACGCTAAAAGACTACGGAGATAGAAAAAAACAAAAGACAAGTACTCTACTAAGTCCGATGAAGTTTACGGTAAATGATCAGAGCAGAAGTTGGCCACCATTATGACAAACATTAGACTAGCCAAAGGACAGGTGTTTCATTATGCAGGTAAAATGCCAACATTCAATTAACCAGACAGAACCTCAGAAGTTAAACGAGTCGGAATGAGGCTTTCAAATGACATTCACTAAACTTCACTGTGAGAAAACATTCTGTCAAGTTCAAATTACACATAAAATAACGAACATCAGCAGAGGCCAACAGCGTGTTCCTGTTTTCGGGAAACGAAGGAACAATGCTTACAGCAAGACTTTTCAGACGACACTCCGAGCACATTAATATGTCTCTAGGCGAATGCACATGATCGTGAACATGCTTGTATGTGATGCTCGACGCTAGACATATTTTTCTTCAGTGAAATCGTGCACTATTTGACATACAAGTAATTATGTGGCATCCCAAAAAAGAGTTGGAGCACTAGGTGACTTGAAAATAGCAGGTACTTTCTATAATAATCATTCGAGAAGGAGTGTTCAGTGATAACTGCAATAGCAGTAAACACAATTAACAACAACATCTCTTTTTATTTGCATCAAAGACTTTAGAAACAGTAAATGATTTTTCCACATAGGACTGAAATTTAAAGTCTATCGTCTATAAAAACTAAGAGTTACCGACTACTGCGGAAAATTGATGTCATACACGATGACAAGCGTCTCAATGCAATGCAAATGGACACCAGTGAGCGGAAAAACATGGAACGAGGAACCAGATAGAAGTACTGGTCAGAGGCTACAGAAGGTATGATTGAGAGACACCGCGCACGTTGCTGAATGACCGGCGTAGAGAAGGAATTCTTTAACACGTTACGAAAGGAAAATAGCAAGGAATATCCAATTCAAGGTTCCGAGGACTAACTTCTTCTTTTCAAGCTTGTGGTTGACAAGGATTGCCGATCCAAATGCTCCCCGGCCAACTTGCTCCATGATCTCATAATTATCCATCTTAGACTCGCCCATCTTGTCGGGCTTGAATGAAAGAAAAACCTTGGAGTTAAAATGCTATCGCTAGAGCCAAATAATGATTGCTTTCTGCAAATACAATGTGACCATCTAGCCTCCACACTCGCCAGCCAGTACCTGCATTGCTGTCACGCACTCAAAATGTAGAAACCCTGTCACATATGCTTTATGGCTTCGTAATCAAGTGCCTTAATGAAAACTTTACTCGGACACATACGCTCCTTAATACCTCTCGAAGAAACAAGAATTCGTAGAACAATGAAAGACGCCATCGATGCAATACCTTCTAATGAGATCAACCCCCTAGCAAACCATTAAGATAACGCAACTTATACTATAGAAGGGTTCTGGGATGGGGAAGGTGGAGACAAGACAAAAAGTTGATGCAGGAAATCCGTAGTATGAATTGACCACTCGCAACAGAGGTGACAGGAATTGGAGGGTCTAGGTTACGAGACTGGGGGTGTAGTTGACTGGGGGTAGAGAGAACAACTCGAAGTTCAAAACTTCACATATTTCACTGTGATAACATCAATGTTTCACAACTTTAAGAAGAGGCGAGATCCAGCTTAAACTCAATGTCTGAAGCTCCGGGTAGAAGAAGCTAGACGATTCACAAGACTAAGCAAGCCTATGAAATACGACGATGGGGAAAATGCGAGCCAAAGGAGCTAAGAAACTCCGAAGAGGAGGGAAAAAAATGAATAGAGCAGCACAGTGGATCGAGAAGGAAACAGATAACAAGAAGGCGCGCCAAATAACGGGAGAATATCTATAGAAAACTACAGGGAGGATGAGAGATTCTAAAGGCGCCGATGGGTTGAGTATGGAACAATGACAAGAGAAGTAAAAAGGGGACACACAAACAGAGTGGACAAAGCAGGTAGGAAGAAGAAATCGGACAGACCTCTATCACTCTCACTCTCCCTGTTAACCTCTGTCTCTCTCTCTTTCTCCCTCTGCCTCGCGCAGGGTCTCTCTCCCCTTCTCTCTCTCTCTCTCTCACACACTCTCTATCTCTCTCTATCTCTCTCTCTCTCTCACTCACACGCTCCCTAAGAGAGAAAACAAGTGCACAGACGATGTTGATGTGAAGTGATGAAAGGGCGAGTAAGACGGGGGAGGAAGGAGAGCAAGAGCGGAGTGGGATGCGTGGCGCTGGGAGGTGATTGAGCCTGGAAGACAGGGCGAAGGCGAGGCAAAAGGTGCGGGGTAGCTAAGTGTCAGAGACACAAGTCCAGCAATAGCGGACACTCTAAACCTGGTCGGCAATGGTGCCTGCTCCGTCGCCCCCTCTCCCCCTCCCCTCCATGGCATGGCATGCGCTCAGGAAGCCAAGCGAAAGAAAGCCATGAGCATCTTCTGGTGGCTTCTTCGTTCGCAATCAAGCCTCAGTAGCATATGAAGGAGGAGAATAATTAGTTTCTGACTAATCACCAACTAACCTACTAATAACTCACTAAGAGAATAAAAGGAGAGGGCATTTCGAGATGATGAGTGTCTGATGACCAGCCCCTGCCGATCCAGATGCAGCAGGAGCAGGAGCAATCCCCCCCCCCCTCTCCCGCATGCCGCCAAGCCCCGCCCTGCCCTGCCCTCCCCAACTCTTCTTTCATCCATACGGATGGATAGACGAATTTATGGTCAAATTTTGGAATGATGGACGGTCGAACGAACGGCAGGACGGACGAGCGGACGGGCTCATCCACACATGTTTCACCTTCTTTGTAACCTCGATATTTAAATCCTCTCTAACGATAGTTCCATCGAACCTCACTTTTACCAGTAATTGCTATATTCTTCAGCCACTTGCATGTTTCTTCACCCTTCTCATCTATACTCTCCCAATTTAATGTGCAAACTTCTCTAACAACATTCTTAACTGAATTTGACAGTGTCCTACACTTACAAAAGTTATGCCCAACACTCTCTTCTAACAGTTCAAATTGAATTCACCCAAATTTGACAGTGCAGTTGTGCATGCCTTTTTCTTTTGGTTTGAAAATAATTGAACACTTTGAGTTTTGTCCGTATGTGAATATTAATACACCTGTACTCCACTTGACATGTAAACTGCAAATGATTGTATTTTTGCAACTTGACATCTTAATTATATACACCATTTAATGTATATTATAAACTTTAGTATGCCAACGTGTAATTTGAATTCATCAACAAAAATAAATTATTTCAATTAAAATTTTCTACAATGCCCAGAAGAATTTGGCAGATTGTATATATATGTATATGTACATGTATACATACAAATACACACACACACAGTTATTTGCTCAGCTTTAATTTTAATTCCACTGATTTACAAACATATGTATTCATGAAATGCAAGGACATATACTAGTAAAGATGTTAAGACAACATACAAATCAATTAGCGAAATGTGTGATTTTGAAAAATTATTAAAAATAATTATAAATATAAAACTGTACAATTACAAAGAACCCTAAACCAAAATTTGAACAATCTTATTGTATATTAAATATAGAATTTCCGTGATAATTAAGAATAGAAAACAATGTAGACAGCTAACTTTATCAATTAAAACATGACTTATGGAACATAATATACATTATAAGTTGAATGTTTGTCTGTTCTTTCTTTTTTTCTTTTTTTTTGTATTCTTACACATATTGTTTTAGAGGAAAATTTTGCAACTTGAACTATATGTGAGATAGAACTGCATCAAGTTCACTGGAGGTTTTGAGTGTGTGTATGTGTATATATATATATTTATATTTATATATATGCAAAGTTGTAAGAATTGTATGCCTCAAGTGTTTCAGTTTCATTAGTATTGTTATTATTATTATTTTTGAATATATAATTCAAGGTCAGAGTAATCTCCAAAATCTTCTACGTGTGTTTTGTGAAAGTATTTTTCTCTGAAATTTTTTTAATTAAAAATCAATGATTATCTTTCAAACTCTCTGTGTTCACTGTTTAGCATTTATTGAAGCATTATCCATAGTTTCAACTAACTTGAAGAGAATAAATTGGAATGGTATCAAGGTAAATTGGAATGGTATCAAGGTAAATGACCTTCACTAACGAAAAGTGAGAGAATTTAAACCAGGGTCAGTAGATGAAGATTGGTCAAGTGTGCTTTGATTAGTAGTGCAATGACATGGAGTTGGAGGCATTTGAATTGAAGCTAATAATGGGAAGCTGAAGGAGATATGTGAGATCACAGTTCTTATCACTAGAGGAAGAACAAGATATTGAAGCAGCAGCAGCAGCAAAATAAGACGAAGAAGAAGAAGAAGAGGAAGAACGGAACGGAAAGGAACGATATGACTTCTGATGCGGTGACCAAGGTTTCTCTGCATTATCCCCAATGCTTGCTCTTCTTCGTCGTCATCACTTCAATTTCATGCTCATCGATTGCAAGGGAATCGCGTGCGCGTCCCTGTGTTTCAAGCAGCCTACTCTACGTAAGTTTTGAACAGCCTGGGGGCCTCTTCGGTTCACAAGCAATTGTGGAATCAAGAAGTTGAGTCATCAAATCTTGTGAATTATGGATTTGGAAAATATGATGGAGATTGTATGGAGAGTTTAAACAAGAACAGCGCATGTGGAACCCTCTGAGAGTCCAGAACCATAGAGCATCGAATGTTTCACGAGATCAGTAGCAACTACACCTCTGGAACGCGCCCAAGCCAAGAACGGTGCAGTGTCGACAATCTTTCCCGATTTGATACAAAGAGGGGCTTGGCGTGCGTGTTGTAAGAGAGACAGCGTGAGGTATGAGGGCGGGGAGAGAGAGAAGGTCGGGGTGGCTGTTGGAGCGAAAGGAGCAAGTCAAAAAGCACAGCTTGAGCAGAGAGAGGCCAGAAGTCCCGGACCAGTTGAGGAAGGGGCTGTGTGAGGTGGAGGGGGCTAGAATAGATCTGAGTGAGGAACAGCAGCATTGCTATTTCCACACGGGATCCAGGGTGTCAGCGGGGCATGGCGAAGGCAGCAAGCAGCAAGGTAAACCCTCCGGAGTTAGATAGAACCCCCTCACTCCTGGTATGCTAAAAATCCCCCTTAGAGCCCATGTGCCATGGGGCTTCATTCACGGCCAGGCTCCACCATATCTCGCTCGCTCTCTTTCTCTCTCTTAAATTCAAATTCAGCATCTCTCGCCATCCAGTTTCTCGCAGATGAATCGTCTCCTCTCGTCCCATCTCGTCTCCGTCTCATCTGGGCTGGGCTGGGCTGGGCCCGTGTGTCCTCCCTCGTGTCTCTCCTGATGTCGTGCCCGTCTTCCTCCTCCCCCATTCTCCGTCTTCCTTCACTTTGGCTCGCCCGCTCCACCTCCCCCTGCCCCTCCCTCGGGCCATCCACATATTCATCCATCACCCATATATTCATGCATCAACTCGCATGTTCATTCATCTATATGTTCATGCATCCACTCACATATTCAGTCGTCCGAATTTTCATCCATCCATCCCATTCTTATTCCAAACAAATATTTGTACTCTACAATTGGACTCTATGTACAATTTTGCCTCTTAGTTCCGTATGTTTCATTTTTGGGCTTGGGAGTTCTCATGTTCTACTACATTCGTTTTTTTTATTATTTTTATCAACATTTTTTTTTTTTTTGTTAAGTTTATGATGTAAATTTGTATATGTAAAATAAATTTTAGAATAAATTATTGTAATTTTTAATATTTGGGTTTAGATCATCCAAATTCGAGTTTAGAATTATTTTGTTTCTAATATTTACATTCAACCAAAATGTATTTTTGTATCAATTATGAACATGTTAGATGAGTTTGAAAATTTTAGTGTCAACCAACAACATGTTAGTATATAAAAAATATTGATGATTGTGATATAAATTACATGTTTTAAATGTAGAACAAAAAAATAATAAAAAATATAAACCTATGGGTGTTTGAATAGCCTTTACCCTCATGTATGATGAAGATCTTATATTCATTGTAAAATTAAGTAGAAACATAAAGTTTTAAAGCAAAATAATAAGCATGAATCAGGTACTTGATCCTTGAAATTCACCAATTTCATCCACTACCCAAAGATGCATTGAAATTCTAAGTTGTATGTTTATAAGATTTAAAATAATAAAATCATCAAATCAAGTTGCTCATTTCTCTGTCGATCACCACAGATATGCAATGATGATACAGTGATACCTATCAAAGAACCACCATCTATCTATACATACATATATATATATATATATATATTGGATCTACGTTTATAAAATTAATCAATTAAGAGCAGCTTAGTGTTTAGCTTTAATTATTTTGTATGACATTCTAAAATATCAGAATGAACTATTATAATCCTACTTACACAAATTGAAATGTTTTAGTTTTGTATTAATTTTAAAACAACAAGATTCAATATAGAACTACTAGGATACATTTCTAATGGAATTTAGATCAATGTAAAATATTATAGTGTAGTTCATGCCAAATCAAAATAACTTTCATCTTGCTTAAAACATAATTTTGTTTCATTTTTTACTCTAAATTTATGTTTCTAAAATTGTTAAATACAAATTTGTACTACTAAACTCACACAATTTAATAAAAATTCAAATGGTCTGTTCAAATATAATTCAAATGAAGACAAAATAAAATTCCATCTGATACAATCAGACTACTTTACCAAAAATAGTAACATAAAATTCAAAAGCATTTAAAAAAAAATGTATGTAGATTGTAGAAAATCTGATCATGTTTGTAAGCATTTTCAGAATAAAAATTTTAAGCACAATATAAGGAGAGAAATAATTTTAAAAGTTTGCAACATGTGAGAAAGAACTTTTCATATATTTACAATGAAATACAATAATTTTGATTAGTAAACATAGTTGTTCGTAGATTTACATATATGTACTTAATTATTATTATTATTATTATTTTATATCTTAGTATACTTAACTTGTAAAAAGTAGTTCAAACATCACCTAAATTGATTTTAAAGATACTCTAAAATAAGTTAGTTGCATCCAAATAATAAATATGCAAGATTTAAAAACACATAATCATCAAATATTATAAATAAAAAAAATAATAAATTTAAATAACAACTAAAAACATATATACTGAAGCATTTCTGTAGTAGTTAAAGACATTTATTATTTTCTCTTAATTAAATACTAAGATTTGGTTTATGACAATAAATTTTGGTATTCAGTAACACCTATTATACACCTGTTTAAATTAAGTATCATTAATAAGTTTTTCAGACTTATTGCAAGTCTTTAGGTATAAAGGACAATTATTCTATTGTATGTACTTTAAAGATTAATTATAAGAGTTTCATGTTTTTATATAAGTATTTTTTGAAATAATTATGCTTTTATTCTATGAATTATAAAATATGAATACTTAAAATTGAAAGTTATAATTTATTTATTTATAATAATTAATGTAATTATTTTTAGTATTGTAAAATTTTAAATGAATATATATAGATATATTTAGATATTTCAAAAATCACAATTTAAGAATTTATTTTATAAATTTTGTATTAGTAGTTTTATTTGAAATTAAATAATTTCATGAATATTTAGAATAAATTTTAGAAATTGTATGTTATTTTTATTTTTATTTAAATATATTAAAATTATCTATAATATTATAGAATTTTCAAATGTATTAATTTCGTTTGAATACCTTTTATATTCGTAATGCATATAATAAAATGGTTCTCTAGTTCTGCTTCAACCATTAAAAATCCTTGCTAGAAGAACTCCTTTAGCTTTCAAGATACTTTGCACCATTTATAGGAATATGTATAAATATTGTTACCAAATTTATATTTTTTAAAATATAAATAAATATTTTATTTCTATTATCATCATTATTATTATTATGATTGTATATATATAATGAAATTAATAAATTATTTTGACTATTATGTTTGTGTTAGTTATTTAAAATTTAATTGTAATTCATTACATAGATTTCCCTCAAATAGAACTTGCATAAATACAATTCTAAAAGAACTTTAAAAGAATACATATGTATATGAAATTCATAAACTTATAGAAATATGTTTTGCATTGGAATATAATGGCAGAGGGGGAGCTTTTATCTAAAGAAAACAAATTATTTTATAATAAATACAGATAATTTTAAATGTTATGTCAAAAAATATCAAGTAGTTTAAGGAAAATTTAAAATTATTAATAATTACATATTTCAATACAGTAGGTCCTAAAATTACAAAATTTGTGTTAAAATACATAAAAGAAAGTATTGTGTGTACTTTTTTACCAGCTTTAAAATATGATATATAAATATATTTCATTATTGGTGTATCAGTATGTGCAAAATTCATTTTCTTTTATCATAATGTCTAATTAGAACAATTGATAGAATATTACATAATTTACATAATACATATATTAACTATTTAAATATTATGATGTTTTTATGAAGAAAGAGGATTAGATCTAAGCTATAACTATAAATCAACATGTATGACTAAATTATTTGAATTAATCATTTTGAAATGTGCACATCATAATTGTGTTTCTATATTTTATTCTTACTCTATATTATCATTGATTTGAAGATATCCTTATATATTAGAGGTTTTATATTCTGATAAATTTCAGGCATAAAATTTCAAATGGATTAATTTACAGATTTAGCTTGTTGCTTTGTTATACTAATTTTTCAACTTTTTTCTTTGAGTAAACCATAAATAATGATAAGTTTTTTGATACTCATACTGTAGATTATCAGAAATCAGAAACACAATTGTAATTATTTATGATAGAATTTTATAATTTCAATGTCTGTTTTAGTGACATTGAAAGTTAAGTATTTTGAGTTGAGTAAATAAAATATTTAAAATATATCATGATTTTCAAACTTAATTTTAGGAGTACAGTACACTTTGAAAATACAAGTGTTTTAATTTATTTTTGCATTCAATAGTGTTAATATGTTGTTTAGCTGAATTTACATCTTTAGATAACACAATAGTGCATGTGTTGAATATCACAGAATAGTGAAAATTTCGTTTCATTATTAACAACATATATATATATATATATATATGTGTGTGTGTGTGTGTGTGTGTGATTTATCTTGAATATCTAACCATTATCAATATTTAAAGTAATTATTATTTTGAATTGTGTAATGTTATGTAGAACATGAGTCTTTCTTGTCAATTTCAAAATAAAAATAATAAAAAACACAATTTTTTAAAATTCTAAATAAGACACTTGCTATTTACAAAAATGCCATTGTTTTATGGAAGTCATTTATTAGAAATTAATCAAGAAAGAAAAACTTGTTTGGTTGGCATAAAATCATGAGAAAGCCATTTGGTGTTGGTAATTGTTGTGTTGTAGTGTTTTCATTGATAGAACAATGAGGGTTGCTTTTTAAAACAACCCCAAGTGAGTTATAATGGAGAAGGTGAGCACAGTGTTCAGTGGTAGAAATGATGCTCAACAAGAGCACGAATGTGATGGGAAGTGGAGGAACAGGTGGCTCAGCATTGCATTGCAGCGAGAAATTGTGCCTGTTGCTGAGAACCGGACCGGACTGGGACCGACATGATTTGACGGACGGATGAAGGAAGACGGATATCTGTCCGTCCATCCGTCCAACCTTAGATTCATTCATCTAATAAAGGCACGTCATTGTGACGGATGAATGAGCGAATGGATGGGAAAAAGGCGGGGATGTGGGGGGGAAGACGTGTTAGTTGGCGCCGGCATGGTCGGTGCGGCGGCGTTTGCGGCAGTCGGCGTCTCCTCCTCCGTTGAGGTGGTGTCGGTAAGGGGAGGTTGTGTGCCAAAGGGGGTCGCTGTGCTTGCGCGACCACTCTCGCCTCCACTTGTCTTTCTCTTTCGCCCTGCTCTTTTCCCTGTCTCTGTCTTTCTCCCTCTCCTTCTCCTTCTCCCTGCCTTTCTCCCTGTCTCTATCTTTCTCTTTCTCTCTTGCAGGGGAGAGCTTATCCTTCCCACCCTCGTCCTGGTTGTTGTTGTTGTTATGCTTCTTCTTCTTGTCCACGCTGCCCCCCACCCTGATTGGGCTGAGGTCCTCCCCACTTGGCATCGTTGCCTGGTTCTCATCCCTTGATTTCTCCCTCTGTGCCTGCCACACAGCACCACCATTCTCACACCTCCACAATTCCATTCACACACACTCTCTCTCTCTCACACTCTCACTCACATACTTCCACATCCCATCCCACCCCACCTTCTTCCTCCCTGTTCTAAAAATATGACTGTGGCAATCACCACCCTTTTAACTCATTTTTGAATGCTTAGTGAGCCACTTGACCAGGTCATGAACACAAATATGATACCCTACATTCCTCCACTTGTTACTCCAAGGCATGGACAGGCGGACAGAAAGAAAATTTTAAAATGGTAAGAGAGCAAGTGAAAATTGCAGTTTGTTTCCTGGTGATCACCTTGGTTCATTATTTTTTTAGATATTACTGTAATGAAGGTGAATTTTTTTCTACTGAACTTTGATGAACGTTGCTAGTTTAGTTTGAACATTGTTTATTGTTTGCAATTTTCACCATCTTTTTCTTTTTATTCTATGAAGAAACACACAAACTCTCTAACTTTGAACATGATAATATTATAAAGAAAGCAAAAGAAGAGTGGGGAGTAGAGAGGCTGGGAGGTGACCTGGTAGTGAAGGAGGTAGTGGCGGACGAGACCATAGCCCACATGTTGTTTGCCGGTCATGTGAGAATGGGTGCGCTCAGTGGCATCATTGGCCACGAGAAAGGACCCACAAGTCTCACACAGCGCCATCTTCTTCTCCTGTGACAGAATGAGCCCTCGCTCATTTGTGATTTGCTGTGTCAGGATGGCCTTCTCCATATTCAACATATCCACCTGCCACCCCCCTTCCCCTTCAATACCTGCCCCTTTTCTAATTTCCTCTTTCCATTCCATCCACTTCTCCCATCTTTACCTCACATTATACATAGAAATACCAGTTATTTCTTCTTTACTTTATTTCTTTACTCCAATTAATTTAAACGTTTTTTGAAGTGTTTGTGATGTGTTCCCACTATTCAAGGTGATTCAAAGTACCCTAATTTACATGACCAGGCTTTTTTTGATATGATCTGTGAATTTTACATTGTCTCCTTCTTTTTGTTTTAGTTAATACACGGTTCTTACATATAAATTAGAAAAAACCAGATGATGAAGTTCTAAGGTATTAAATTAGGTGAATGTATACATGCATACATACATACATATGTGAAATTGAGAGTGATTTAGTGCTTGTGCAATACATAATTATGAAAAAACTATCTACATTGTAACCAAAACATTGATTTTGAACCCTCAATGTCACAATTTATTTTTTTACTTATTTATTTTTCTTTTATAGATTTTTGTCAGAAAGGCTATTTTTTCATTATAAAAATGGTATTTTTAAAAATAGGAAATCACTGAATTCATATTATTTATTTATTTGACATATATAATTTCATATTTTTAAAAAAAAATATTTGATTAACTTGCATTCAATGTGTTTTGGTGAATTTGTACATGTTTGCATGTAACTCTTTTGATTTTAATCATTTATGCTCTCTCAAGAAAAATAATAATAGGAAAATCTCACTTTCATGTAATCATACTTGAATTATTTTTCAAATTAATGTTACATGAGTGAAGTTTATCAGGAACTCTTTGGATTTGTGTAAAATAAAACTTCCGTAAACTAATTTGTCAATAGGAATGTATTCTTACTTAATAAATGAAAAAAACGAAATGCTCATGTTTTCACAAATTATAAGGGAAAAAAAAGACTTGTTAAAAAAAATACATATATAAAATTATGATGTGCACGTGTATATATATATATATATATATATATATAGTTCTGTGTAAGATTTTTTTGAGGCAATGTTTATGAGAATATATATTTTTTGAAATTTGGTTTCATGGACACTCACAAGTGTGGAAAGGTAATAATCAAATGCATAATTTGAGAATTATGGATAGTAACGGAGACTCAGGTCTGGAAATGAAATGGAGAGACAGAGTTGTTAGTGATACAGACATCAGGTGAGATGGGGTCATGCATGTTCTCCCACTTGGGAAAGGGAAAGGGAAACAGACCTTCTTCATCAAAGCCTCAGCCTCGTCCACTTGACCCACCTCCCCAAACACCTCAATCTTCTCCAGAAGCTTTTTGATGCTTTCTTCAATGTTCACAAGCAAGTCGGACTTCTCAGTGGAGATGGGCATCAACATTGTGGAGGTATTGGCATCTTGAGCAAGGCGTTCCCGGCCTCGTCGAACCTTGCGGTCCAGGTCTTGTACCTGGCACACAACATTCAAGTGCAGGGGTAAGAAAGGCTCCAAATGAAGAGTTTAATTAGCCCTGCCCCTCCTCAGAATACAGTTTGTTTAAACCCAAAGAGGTTTATTTTATTTTATGGGGAGATGCCAACCAGCTTCTCACAGAATTGGAAGAGCTGTGCCTCAAACCGAGGTACATAGTTGTCGTGGCGGGTTGATTGCTGGTAGCTGCAAAAGTAGTGGGGTCAGGCAGAGACAAACCCTAAAATCAGCTCCTACCCCCTCCTTCTCCACCAGCATGCTTTTTATTTGTCTTTGTGTCTCTCTGAGATTGTCAAAGGCATGCAGGATGGGCTTGTTTGCTCTTTGTTTTGGGATTGTCTACAACTCACTCTAATTCTGCACTGAAAGTTATTCTGATGCATGCTTTGCATCCTTTGCAGGCTCACCTTAGTGTCAGTGATATTACAGTTATTACTGCTATCACTACTTATCTCAAGGGGCACTGAAGGTAAGAGCATTGAAACACATGCATACAGTTTGTTCAAACCCAAAGAGGGCAACTTTCTGTTTTCCTCTTTGAACTCATTGACAATGACAATAATAGAGATGTTGTTGTTATTACTTTTTGTTTCTTTGGATTTCCTTTGTAAACAAGAGCACATGTGTATTTGTATTCAATTAATTACCAAATGTTAAAAAGGAACATGATGATTCTGCTTTGAATTTTTATCATGCACTGGCCTTCAAAAGTACAAAGTGTAGTCACCTTTCCTTAAGCTTGGGATCATGAATCTTTGGGCAGGGCCCTGCAAACATTACATCAACATAACAACACCAATATAATCTATTATTTTATTTGCATTCATGGGTGAATATGTAATGTCACCACAGTTTTGCTAGTGCCTCCACAACTTGTTACCCACTCCACATATATTTTTATTTTTTAAAACAAGTTTTCAATTATTTATTTGATATAATTTGAAAAAAATGATTTTCTTTCGAAACAAAAATAATCTTTTTGATAAGAATTAAAAAAAAACCAAAAAAACATGTCAAGTGAATAGCAAGTTTTGATAGCAATAGCAAAAACTATAATGTCATTACCAATACCTATATATATATATATATAGATATATAAATGTAAATATATAATCATCCCTTCCTTAATGGAAACAAGAGAGTGTGTGCATATTTCTATACAAAGGTTTTTGTTGCTAAGAGGAGGGCATGCAAAGGGATTAAGGGGATAGAGGGACTGCACAAGCATACCAAGGTCACTCTTTGTGTTCACAAACAGGTCATGTGGGCAGAAGTTGACGAGGAAGCACGTGCATACAAGGGGGTCATCCCATTGCATCTCGCAATGGCCTTTCCTCTCTTCAGCTGTCAGGTCCCTTGCTGCCCCCCATCCCAGGCCACACATTACCATTTATCATTCTTTGGATTCAAACATCCCTCAATAACCTTTGCTCCCTAACCTCCCTCTTTACTCATTCCTCCACCACCACTGATACTTGCAATTGATCACAGCAGATTATTCATGCAGTAGGATATACAATAATATAAATATATATATATATATATATATATATATTACTGTGGGTTCAGTTGGATGGATAATCTGGCACCTGTTCCCATGAGCTCATCAAGCAGTGCTCGCTGAGCTTCCACCATAGCTATTGCACCCTCTAATGCTGCACCCCTGCCCTTCTTCTCTCCCTCTCAGTTTTTCTCCCTTGATGTCACCCACCTTTCTCTAGGGCTGGGGACAAATCTGTTCCTCCATAAATGTGGCTGCTCTTGCTGCTGCTGCTGCTGCAACTCAGATTTTAAACCACCCCATTATGGCATTTCATTTGTGGTGGGGGTCTCCATCATTTGGACCCCCTGATCACAACTGTTAGGGCTGCCATATCAACTACTCATACAAATGGATATGCACATATTCTGAAAGGTATGAACAGACAAACATACTCAACCTCCTCATTTTATTCTCACTCTCACTTTACTCTTTCACCCTGCTCTCTTGGACTCTCTCTATTTCTTTCACATCCTGAATGCTGAACAAGTCTACATAGTCCCAACAGGTGCTTCCACTCACTTCTTGTGTTGCACACTCAACAATCATCTCAGTTCTGAATATGAAACCCCTACCCCTCTACCCTCCATGCCCAGTCTCAGTCTCTCTCTCTCTCTCTCTGTTTGTACATATATTGTAGTTTGATGCAGCTACATAATCCCTCCATTATACCCTTGGCATGTTAATGGGAATGGTGTTGTGTTATATTCTGTGTGTAAGTTGTGCATGCTTGATGCCAGCCTTCCTCCTTTGTAGATGTAGTTCTAACTGCCACACTGCCCAATGGCAAAAAATCTACCCAAAACCCTAATTCACATGCTCCTCTCTCTCCCTTTCTTATACTTGGCTTTCTGGCAGACCAAGCCATCTTCTTGCCCTGTATAAATGAGTCCATTTGTCTGCTTGGATGGATGAAAAATTAACCAGCTGTACAATCCCTTCTTCCTGGTCTCACATGCTACACCATCCTTGGTTTAATAATCATACTTGGCCCTTTCTGTTTATTTCCTTCCTCAATGCTTTAGAACCAACTTTTCAATTCAAGATTTGTGCCCTAAATGCTTGGTAAGGCTTGTGGGGGCATATGGAATATTCTTATTTTGTGAAGCAACTTCAACAGAATTTAGGATGGGCCATATTATGAATGAAATTAGTCACCATCTGAATGGGAACGTAATGCTTACCAAATCAAAGAAACCAATTCATGAGGATTATAATTTGATTTGTTGAAAGAAAAAAAAAAGAAACTTTGAATTAAACTTTGAATTTAAGTGTCATATATGCTTGTAAATATCTGTGAAAATATCATGCACGTAAAAAATAAAAAAATAGTATTTTAGTTCATTTTAGTTCATTTTTTTTTTTTTTTTTTTTTTTGATTTTGATTTTAAAAAGCTTTAGTTAATCATTAAAAGAAATAAAATACCTTCATTACCTCGTATTCACTTAAATAACTTTAACGAGATTCTTTGTGAGGTGACAAAGATTGATATCAGATTCAAAGGTAGAAATAATATATATATATATATATATATATTTATATTGATCTTGTTTCTTCCATAATTTAAATATTAAATCACAATTGCATTGTATGCAATGAATATAATAAAATCAAAAGAAATAATTATTGCTGTTTTATTTAATAAAATTAAAAAGGCATACAATATGGCTTCATTATTCAAAGACACAAATAATGGATAAAAGCCTCAACATTAAAAAGTCTAGATAAAACACTAAAACTTGATTTGAAAATTTAAATTCAATTGCCATAAATATAAAAAATTATAATATTTTAAATAGTAATATTTAAAAATATATGAGACTAAAATTGATATAAGGTTCAGTTTCTTAAAAAAGCCAATTTCACAAATTTTATTAGAATTATCAGAAATGTCCTTATTATGGTCATAAGTTGTGACAAGTTTTAAGATATATGGATCCTTAATTTTGGTTTCTTATATTACATGTGGCCGTAAAAGCATTGGTATTATATTTATACTTGTTAATCTTAGATTTCATACTCATCAAATAGAAATTTAATCAATAAAATTACTTGAGGTAGTAATATACATTACCAAAAAAGAGAAAACACTTATTGTTTGAAAATTTTAAAAGTCCATCTTTTGATACTTTGGACATAAGTATGTCAAAAATCTAGTAGAAGCTTCTTCTCAGGTTTAGCTTCCAAAATAAAACAAATACTAATTTGAGCTGGATTGCTTGTAATCCTAATAGATTTGGTTGTTTATGTATGATTGAAAATTTTCTAATTATAAAAATGATCGAGCTTTCTACGTTTTATAAAAACAATAGATAAAAACTTTATATATCTAGATCAAGGTTATGAAAGAATTCAATGAAAAAAAAAAAAAAAATCTTATATGTAGATTGAAAATTCATTATGTAGATTGAAGTAAAGTTTAAAGCAATGGTATAAGCAATTTGATGATCTTTCAATAAAGCAATGATATAGTTGTAGTTTTTCTAATAGTTGACTATATTTTAAACAACTACAAAAGGGTACCTTGAATAATTAAGTTATACTTATACTATATATTGATAATATTTTGGTTATAATTTATTTTTTTGATATAGATAAGATAAAGATAAATCTAAGTAAAGACTTTGATATAAAAATATCTTAGACTTGCTAGGAAAATTATACAAATTGATACTTACAAAAATTAAAAAGTACTAAGGCTTTAGATATCAAAAGAGCACTACAGTGAAAAAATAATAAAATATTTTGGCATAGAAAAATTAGTAGTTATTCTTTTAGCATCTTATTCTAGATTAAATTGAATATAACCTAATAGTATTAAGATTAAAATAGAGAATATTTTTGATATTTTAAATCTAAATTTATTGGATATTATCATATATTTAAATATGTATATTATATTAAATATTACTATTGATATATATGTAAAAAAATATAGAAATATAAGTAGATATAATAAATATATTAACAAAATCAAGAATGGTTGAAAAGTTTAAGTTGTATTTGAGTTTGTTGAATGTAAAATATATTTAATAGAAAAGCATACATTAATATATGATATATATTACATTAATGCTTAATTTATCTATATATAGATAAAAGCCAAGTTAAAGTAGAGATCATTGTATGAAGTACCTTATATTTCATTTAAATTAATATATGTAGTATAATATGCTTGCTTGTTTTGTAATTAAAGTTACTCCTATAGAGTCTCCAAAGAAAAACAAGTGCATTCTATAAACTTCTACCAAGGAAAGACAATTAGAAATTGCTATATCTTATAAATTAGTATTTGTTTTATTTAATATACATTTAAAATATTTTAAAGATTCTTTGATATGCTTTAATTAGCTCTAATGTTAGCTTTTATAGAATCGTAATTGTATATATATGTTGTTTTAGAACTTAGTGAAATAATTTTGGTTCATATCAATTTCATTACTTTTATGATTTTTGTATCTATTATTTAGATAAATTATGGAATATTTAATTTTTTTAAAAATAAATCTATTTATTATTTTCTAATATGATAATAACATAATTATATAAGATATCAAATTTCAAATAAAAATATTTCTAATATTTTGATTCATATACTATTTTAAGACAAAGTTTAACCTACAAGGGTAGTTCTAAATCTGGATATTATGCTAATATAATATCCTTTTGTATTGTTTGATGTTGTTTAATGTGAAATATAATGTAGAAATTTACCAATCATCTGATTCTAGAAGAATTTAATTTCAAGCTTTATTTATTTTTATAATAAAAACAATGATTTTTAATGACACCTTTCTTGGCAACCTTGATTTTTCTATGAATTTTAAAAATAAAAAATTCAAAATCCTACCAACCATAAATTTCAAATTTTATCAATCAAATATTATGAAATCTACCATTCTAAACTTTAAAAAAAATTATAAAATATATCATTATAAGATATTTATAATTTTAAAATAATTCTTAAATAATACTAAAGAACTATTAAGAAAATTTTCAAAATTCCTAAAAAAACTCATGAGCTTTAAAAATTGTCACAAACATACATACCTACCTAGATAAGAAGTATTAGGTAGAAACTTAAATGTAGATAAATTCGATAATATCTTATAAAAAATCTTCTTAGAAGTTTCATAGAAGTGGATTTGACTTTAGACATATTTGTAATTAATTGGTAGATTAGAAACTTGACCAATGAGTTAGCAACATATTGCATGTAACTTGTAGTACAAGATTACCATGTGATGTATATATAGGAAACTTGTCTTGCTAGTTAGACATGTATCTCACAAGTTAAACATGTGTTGGAGGTCCTATAGAACATTGCCACATAACTCCTAATTAGATAGTATATATGGAGAGAAGAATGAAGCCTTCTTTATTCTTGTCAATGCCATTTTTATTCTTAGTCTTGTTTCAAGAGACTCTAATGTTCTTATCTTTGGCAATAGCCATTGTAGTTTAATATTATACCATCTTTAAATATTTATCTAGTCTTTTCAAGCGATACAAGAGTATATTGATCTTTTGGTTCTTTGAAATTCATGACTTTGACACCAATGCATATTAATAAATAAATTTATATATTTTAATATAGTTTTATTGTTTCTAAAATTATTATTATAATTAAATCAAGTTATAATAGCCTTAGATATTAAGAAGTTTTTTGTTATATTCTAATAAAAAAAATAATATCTAATATTAATCTAATAAATCAAGTCAGGAGGTATTACATATAGAAACATGTTAAATGAAAATCCAAAATAATTGAATCTTTTATTTTTCTACATCACAATCTTAGAATTATTTTAATTTAAACTAAAACCTTAAAATTGTATAACAAGTAAAAATAGAATTCACATTATTATTATTGATAGTCCTGTATATTTTTTATATTTTCATCCTACAAATACATCTTAATTTTAATATTTTTTAGAATGAAAAATATTAAATTAAAGGATTTATTTGATCATTTTAGAATGTTTTAAGACTTATAAGCTTTTATAAGTTATAAGAGTCTTATTGAAAAGTCGTTTCCTTCGAAGTTGTGTGAAAAAAGCTTTTCAGTGAACAAATGAACTGTGTCTGGTTCACTTAGTTCTACCTTCGAAAATATGGACTTTAAGAAAAATTACCGAGAACTCCTTGCCTTCCATCAGCAGAAGGGCGCATTACATAAAGAGGACACATTATTGAATCCCAATTTTATTATTACACTGCTTACCCACACTTCGTCGAAAACTTACATGGAAAACTAGTTTGATGCATACCATACACTAGACAGTGAAAGTTCATGCCCCTTCACATGTATGTCCTCCAAAAACCTAGTATGGCAGACAACAGTGCTGGCAGCTCTAGTAAAACGTGGCTTCACTACATTGCGTGCACTAGACAGAAATATATAAATCGACATCCTGAATGTTGCATGCTACCCACATGGAGATATTATTTCAGGACGTTCTTGAACTTTGAACATCCAGAGATCTGAAATTGTGATCGAAAGCTCCGTCGAGAGATACGACCTTGGCTGTAATCCATGAGAAATATATCTCCAAGATGCAATTCATGACACTTAAAACCTTAAAGAGAATCCACATCAAAGTGGTGTTCAAACAGTGACCACAGACAGGTCACCCAAGTGTTGGCAGTCGCTAAACTCTCGACCTCTGTAAAGCAGTTGAGCCAAAAAGACTTCCTGGTATTAACCAAAAGGGTTGCTTCCAGCGGTCTGCGTATGATATGAAGAACCTCCATACATAGCACCTTGGTTGAATCCTTGATTTTGGACAAAGCCACTAGGTTGCCCGATTTGCCTGCATCCAAGATTGAAATAACAAATTCCGGCAGGAATAAATCACAGTGCACCTAGAATATTCGTGTTTGGTATTCTGATGTTTTAACATTGATAATCTCTTCCACTGAAGCCGCCATAATTATTGCTAAGACTGTAATTTTAGAAATAAACAAAGATACCAGTAGGGAATAGACTATCAAAATCGAACAGAACCGCCTACTCAGATTGCAAGCATAGTAGACATTCATTGCACAGAAAAATGGGTACAAGATCCCTTACTGGTGCATGTTAGAAGTTGATTGCATCCCATATCCAAAGGCACCACCTGTAATAAACATGCAGAGTATGAGAACCATAAATGTCTTTCACGCACGTCAACAAGACTCTGAACTGACCAAAGATCCTTTGGTGATGCACTCAAAAACTATTACTAATTATGCAAAAGTAAAACCCAGTGTCAGCAAAACTCGTTATCATACAAAACACCTCCAAAACACCTTCAAACCACCATAATCATTCATACATTACTTGGTACAGTGAGTCGTCACCTGGCGTTGAGATCGGTTGGAATTGGGGGATAGACTGTCCCCATTGAGAAGCTGCACCGGACAGAGAATCTCCAATTTGAGGCAGTGCTGCTTGCATAGAGCCCATATTAAACTGCACGGGACACAATTCAACGTCATTCACCAACTTATGAACATGATCAGCACTTACATTTTCAATTTCCTGTAGGTTTCCTACTGAAGGAACGAGCACACGATACCAGCAGAAGAACCAGAGGGAGAAGGCAACGCTCACCGGCGCAGGTGGAATATCATCATCGTCAAATGGATTTCGAGTCCTAGATGGCTGAGCAACTGCCTGTTGTCCTCTCTGCATAGGAAGATTGCCTAAGCATCAGCTGTTTCAAGTGTAGGCAGGGGTTCAAGAAAATGAGAAAAAATAGTATAATCAGACAAAGCATGCCAAAAGATGCAACAAAACCAAAACAGCAGAATGGTGCAGCAGCATTTCTGAAATTACTTGAGGAAATTGAGGTGCCCCAACATGTCCAACTCCCATTGAAAAAGCAACGTCCTGGCGAGCATCAATGAACACATTGGGTTGCGCAAAAAAGTCCTACAAACGATTTCCAGCAATGTAAATTTGGCGTCAGTTATCTCCAGCAATTCAGAAACCACTATCAGAACAACTTATGGCTTATCTGCGTAACCTCTGAAATTATCTTCAACCTCATCCGGATCTTCAAGAGGGAATATAACATCAATAACATTTTTTCTACCTGAGGTAATTCACGACGTATCCTTCCGGAAGGAGAAGATTTTGATTCCAGCTTGTCGACAAGACTTGGTTGTTGAGGATAACTCATTTGCATCCCCGTCTGATTGACAGTGGTCAGACCTCCAACAGTTGAGAAAATGTTTAATTGCTGGTTTCAACCAAGTTCATTGTTAGTAATGACATGAAGATTACAGACTGACACGGGAGGAACATAGTACAACTAACATCTTAAAACAGTAGTAAACTCGACAAAGCTTATCACATGAAAGCATAATGGATTCAAGATAGTTAAGAAGAAACACGACATAAAGCCAGGAGAGACAAATCTGGCGCAGCCAGACTCCTCCAACATAATTCTTAAGAGCTAGAGAATACATCTAACCTGGCTTGATGGTACTGAACTTGGAGCAGGAGCTGTGGTTTGAACCAATGCAGGGACTGATCCCGTGTGTAAGTCAAATGCTGACCATCCACTCCCACCTAAAGTGGTACTAGAATCCCAAAGGTTTCCACCAGAAAACTGAGTTGTTGGGTTGTTGGTTGAGGCGTTTGCTAAAAATCCACCGGGATACCCCTCTGGAGGGGCCGGGTTACCAGTCGAACCAAAAGTAGCCCAGCTGGATGTCGCAGATTCAGCACCAGCACCTTGACTTCCGAACCCAAAAGGATCTGGAGACTGCTTCAAAACTGCGGCAGGTGCAAACGGATCAGCTACCGGCTTAGCAGCCGTAGCGACTGCAAAAGGATCAGACCCAAATAGATCTACAACAGGGGTATTAGCGGAGACAGGAGCGGGTGCAAAAGGATCTGACACAGGGATTTTCGCGGAGACAGGGGCGGGGGCAAAAGGATCTGTCACGGGGGCAGATGTCGTAACAGGCTCCGGGTCTGCACCAAAATCTATCAAACTAATCATACTCTCAGAACTGGTTCGCTTGACAACAGGAGCTGAAGCTGCCGATTCTCCATTAGCCAAATGATTGAGGCTCTGTGATCGTGCATGATTTGCCAATCCAACCTACAAGAAAAAAGTGGGAGGTGTGAGGCATGTGCACGATCCATTTCCAGGTAACATAGGCGAACAATCACGCTCTATAAATTCCTTTCATGATACTACTAGTTCAGTTTTAGTCAAGTACAGATGATCAGGTACTAAAATCTCAATGTACTTAATTACACAAAAATGAACTTATGATGACGATGCTAAAGAATCAATAAACAAAAGAAATAAAGGAGACGAAGCTGGTGATTATTACGATGTGACATTGTAGTTAACATTTTAAAATCTGCAACTGATGAGCTTCAAACGATAATACGCATGAAGGAAAAAAGTCAAACAATGACATGGGATAGTAAATAACATCGTCTCATATTCTCACCGGGGGAGGTATCGTTCCCGGAAGTGAACGGCCATTCACATCAACACGCAAAGATGGGACATCATCTCCAAGGATTTCCTTCACAGATCGAATAGGCGGACCATCGTCTTCAGAGTTTCGGAAAGTGAAGGGCCGAACAGGGGGCTTTGCTCTTTCACGGCTGGCTTCAGAAATTACTTTCTCATCACGCCGCCCTTCACGGTCATCGTAGCTCTTACGAGGCGGCCTATCTGGTTCAAATCTATTAGGACTGCGTTTTTCATTCAAGTACCCCCCGACATCAGACTTGCGCGCCCGGTCACTATTGCGTCTGTCATGACTTTGATCTACTCTTGAAGGACTCTGAAAACCAGGTTTTCGCACGTCAGGACGCCGAGATTCAAAATCATCTCGACCACCCTGAACAGCGTAAACAACAAAATATAAACAAAAGATGAGGACATGACAAAGTCATTGAGAAAGGAATTAAGAAAATAGAAATTTCCAAATGAGCATATACCATCATCACCCAAAGGATTAGATGGAGAAGTAAAATCAAACGATACGCAGATAATGTCACGTATCTGGTGGCATGATCATACGTCATAGGAAATAAACTTTAGTAAACACATTGAAAAGTGCAATCGACCACGACATCATTGTTATCTGGTGTGCAAATTACACAAAATTGATGAATGAAGACTTCAAAATAAATTCTTGATGACTCTCCGATGAGACCGATGAACCACAATGTCAAGCAATCGAGATTGCCGATATATTCGGCCCCACAAGGACAAAATCACAGAATTCTCTTTCACAGTTTAATTCTCATAGCATTACACCCAAAAGTCATTATGCAGTAACAACACTTACTTCTTGATTTTTCGTAGGTGTTGGTCTCTCTCCAGTAAATCGTCTTTCAACATAAACATGGTTGATGAAATTACGTAGTTTTATAGGATCACTGCATTCCAGACAAAATGATTTAGCCCATCGCAAGTGTTAAATGCATGATGATGCACCGGGCAAGAATGTTCATTGATGTCGAAGACCTACCTACTATCAGGAAGTGGGTTACGCACAAGATCCAACTCCTTGAAATAAATCTCTCGAGCTCGCTGCAAAAAAGATATTTGAATGAGTTTAAATGTATTAAGGCTACTGAAATGCACGGGCAGCTGTCGCAACTTCCTTCTCACACATACTCACTAGACAGTAAAAGCCCAAGTTTTTAATCATCAACCAGAAGAGAGCACAGCGGCTGCCTACAACAACTGAAGCAAATTGAACACAAATTCCTCGCCCAGATGTGCAGAGCTATGTACCCCATTGCCTCCAGATTGTAGATTAGCAACTTCTGCAGGAGTGAATTTCGCCATAGAAATCGACTTGATTCGGTGAGAGAACTCGCGACTACAAAAACCGATTTGATAAAGGAACATACATTTAGTAAATAATATCCAAAACTTAATTTAACGAATCGTCAAAAAGTACAACTCAGCAACTATGTGGCAGTACTAGAACTCTGCAGTTATTCTTATCAATTTTGGGTTACAACTCTAAAAATTGCTGACAATATGCCCGACTTAGGTGCCAATATGGGCGCATAATTAGAAATGGAGAGGCTTGCACCAAAACCTACTGGACATTCACAGGCGAAGGATATAATAGATCAGCCCAATGGTGTTCATGTCATGGGCTACAACAGAACTACAATAAGACCTTCGGGGATCTTCCCAAATACTAATATGCTGAAGACAGACACCAAAAAAGCCAATGGCACTCACTGTGCTCCGCTGCAGTACGTGCATACGAAAATAGAGAAATTCGTACATACATATTGGGGACCCTGTCAAAAGATCAACAGAACGATATAAATTGTACCATAGTGATCATACGACTACAAAGAAATTTCATGAAATGAAGTAAAAAATAGTCTAGAATCCAACATTGGACAACAATAAATTACAAATGAACAAATGGCAGATAACAGAGGGCTCAGGACACTTAATATCTCCACAAGAGCATGGGAAAAATTATACTGCAGATTTGATTGGTGAACTAGTAAGATTCTCAAAATTCACTAAAAAGGCATTACTAAATACAACGAGACCTACTTGCTATGCAATTGAATGCAAATTTTGACCGAAGGGCCGGCGAAACTGACCAGGCTGTTGCAATTGATGCATCGTTTATTTTCGGTGTTCTTCAGCAACTTCCTAATAATCATCTCATGTTTCTCATCCTCTCTCACCCTGCTATTCATTTTGCCAAGATGCTGCAAAAACAACTGCAAAATTTTGTCACAACTTGGTAATTCACAATGTCGGCACTCTCGAAGCTGTTCCCGTTCCTCATGAATACTATAATCGTTTAAATTTAAGAACCTCAGATATAAAAATAGAGTTCACAGATGCAGCTTTGTTGCTTTCAAATACTACAAGCAAATCTTCCACAATTAGTATTGCAAATGTAGACCTAGACTGTAGTAGAATAAATCCTTAACACTTACATGGTAATTGCTAATCGTGTGAACATACGAGAAGGGTTTCCAATGTCACGGATGTAAAACTTGAACGCATGCATGTAAGAAACACATCTAGCAAGACAAACAGGGAGTGGGGATGGCATATGACTGGTCGAGAATATTTACATACCATAAATTTCAATCAAAACGATAGTATAAATCTAGCCACGACTTGATTTCGGTGATGAATCAACGCTCTAAAACTGGGCCTGCAGCGATCGTCGCAAGTTAGTGAGTCCCATGCACTTGAAATACTTCACAGATCCAACTGAGTCCCGGAACTTGGGACTCTGCGCGGATTACTCTATCCACAAAGAGGTCATTACGAACAGAAATACAGCTGTACACGCTACAGATTATCAGCTGCTGCAATCGATAGATAGTCGACAGCAATTAAGGAATAATCCGGGCATATGCTCAACTCTAGTCATAATGCACCAAAAAATCAAATTTCCTATAAACAGATAAGAAATCCATGCTTTCTTGAAGAAGAATATCCTTTGTCCGACTTGATTCAGGTAGAATACATTTAAACGTGATTTAAAATACGGCCTGTCGGGACGAGAACTAAAATGTAGGTGAAAGACACATTTGATAGCCGCTTGGGAAATGGCTATTTTTCAAAACCATGATCCGAACTGAAGCAGCGTTCGTGAATCCTCTACTTTCACCTCGCATCCTATCAATTAAAGAGTTTTTAACTCGGAATAATCAGGCAGTTGCGATGGAAATAAAACTGCCGGGAGATATAGCAGCTCACCAGTACAAGCAGGTCCCACCGAAGTGGCGTCTACAGCACCCAGTTACGAACTGCGACAGCCCTCCTTAGAAGTCAAAAAAACATGGCGTCGACCTGAGGGTTCATTCAAGCACAAGTATCCAATTCCTCAATTGAAACCGTCAACCCTAAAACACAAATTGAATGCTACTGGGTGAAAGCAGAGATCCAGAGGACGGGCAGCAACAAAAACATGTATAGATATACCTCATGACAGCACTAATCTCAGCGAACCTGTGAAAAAACCACACGTAAAAGGACAGGCGTCAGTGTAAGTGGATCCGGAAGCATTTGGATAGAGACAAATGAGATCCTGGAAAAGCGGGGTTGTAAGGTGCAGTGGGAGGGGCACAAACCGGACGGGGGTTGAGAGGGCGCCATGACCGCGGCGGTGGTGACGGCCACTACTACGAAGCAACAGCGGTAAACACAACCAAAGCAGGGATGTCGGTGCTTGCGGGGGCAGGAGCTGAGGGGACCGGAGTAGCAGGAGGAACTTTGGAAGAGCAAGTGGATCGAGGGGAACAAGCGGAAGGAGAATGTAACCTAAGCAGCGAGGACGGTGCTATACTAAGATGAGCAGTATTATCCAGGAATGATGCACGAGGAGGAGATGTTAGTGAAGGAGGAGGGGGAAGAGAGGGAGCCGACGACGTCGACAGAGACGAGGGATCAGGCAGGGACGAGGAGAGGGGGAGGGGGTCGCAATAGTGGTGTGTAGAAATGGAGTGCCACAGCTCTTTTTCTCTCCCCTTCTGCCGCCGCTGCTGCTGCTGAAAATAATGCTGTTGAAAGGAATGAGGAGGAAGAGGAGGCGGAATAAAACTAATAATAATATATTATTAATAATATTAATGTTAGTATTCCGGCGAGACTCCTCTCTTCTCGCAGGTAGGTTCCCCCGTGCCCTGGTTGTTACCCGTTCGCCTGTGCTCTTTCTTCTTCTCCCCAGCGAGTGAGCGACGACCTTGCTCTGGCCTCAGCGCCCTGCCGTCTTTCCCTGCCTCCTTCACCTTCCTCCCTTTCTTTCTTTCATTTTTACGTAGCCCCCCTCCACATCTACTATCGCGACACAGCCTTCCGGATATCCATCCTGCTCCTAATGGATGGAAACTCCACGTACAGTGGATGAATGCATAACGCCTATTATTCCCTCAATCACTCCTATTTCCAACTGTCCGATGTACATTTCGTGCACCAACATCAATTGTTCTATATCATGTGCACCTCTCTCTATCTCCCCCTTCTCACCCAAATGGGTGCTGTATATCTCCAACTTGATCGTAACTCATCCTCATTACCTTCAACCTCAACATTGCGCAACACTTGGAGTGGTTCACGTTTTGTGCTTCTGCATTCACTTGGCCCTTGTACCACAATGACGAGGAATCTAAAGTTGTTTGGGGTGACTTTAGATGTTTGGAAGATTTATTTTGTCTAATATTATTTTGATAATATTAAAAATCTAATAATCGTGGCAAGCTAAAATTCTTATAGCATTAATAACATATTAATAATATGTTAGTTGAATTACTTAATTCTTTATAGAATAAAAGAAAATTGATTGTAGTCAATTAAAAATAAAATATATATATTTTAGAAGATTCGGAAACATCAATTCTTTACACCAATAATTATGCCAAGGATCTAAGATTCATACTCAACTTAGGAAGAGAATAGACCAAAGTTTATTATCTTTATAAAATTTCTTAATAATTTTGGATTTTAAATGAAGTTTTAAAAAAAATTAAATTACTCATTAGCCAATTATTACTAAATTTTAGTAAAAATTAATCTATTGCATTCATAAACAAAATTGTGTACTTTTAAAGAAGAAATCCTTGATGTTTAGTTATTAGAATGAAAAATATAAATTGATATTAAATTTATATAAATTAGATTATTTGTGAGCAAAAAATTCTTGATTTTGAAGTGTCAAAGAAACAACAATATCTATTTGAGGTTATGTCAAGAATAGGTGTATAAAACAATAGATCTTAGATGGAGGATCTGCAAAAGCACCATCCAAAGTCCAAGGTTTAGTTCTCACATCATTTTCAACCCTCTCATTTTCATGGATTTTTTTTTCTCATAACTCTTCTTTCTTCTCTATATCTCTTTTTTTCTTTGTGGTCTACTCTTCTCATTAGGTAGTTCAAAATTAGAAAATCCCAATAATATCTCTAAAACTTTATCTTAAAAAATGAGAATTTGAGGCAAAATTTTGTGAGAAAAAACTCTTAAATTTAGCTTCTATGTAAGTCAAGAATTATCAAATTTATAAAGGATAGATTACTTTAACATGCATAGTATCTTTTAAAGAAGTTAAAATAAAGAGTGTTTCATTGCCTTAATAATCAAGATCATCCAAATTTGGAAGATAAATTATTAGCTATTGACAAGAGAATTGATGCAATTTGAAGGTATCATTATTTCTTAAAGTTAATTTTTAAACAAGATATGATTTATTAAATTAAAAAAAGTAGGGCATAGGATACAGCTATTTGATAGGAAAGAGGTCACAAAATTAGTGGCATAGTGGAAAGTGAAAGCACTTTCATTCTTTTTCTCACTGAACTTCTTTAGGCACCTTATTTATACTATACCATCTAATTGGAACAATTTAATAAAGACCACTATTACACATTGACACTATTTATCTTAACTAGTATTAAATGTATATAATTTTTACTCTATTTAAGTAGTTTTTAAAATTATTTTTATTTTTATCAAATCCCAAACTCTAAATCCAATTGTGTTTTAAAATTTAAGTAGTTGCTTTGATTAATTTTACTGTTATCTATTTAAAAATTCAAAAAATAAAAATAAAGATATGCATAAATATATATATATAATATAAATACATATAAAAAATAAAAAATAAAAAATAATTATTTAGCTAAAATCATCTGAATATTAATTAAATATGTGAAATTATTTTAACTAAAATATATTTAATTTATAAAATATAAAATTAAATTAATAAAAATTTAAATTATTACACTAAATGGTATTATTTTGAAAATTAAATTTGATATTTAATTTCTTGAGAAGAAATTTGTACAATCATTTTTCATCAATTTAATTTTCTTAGCTTGAGACTTTTTCATGTGTTAGATTATTAAGCATTAGAAAATCCTTAAATTGAAAGGGTGTTTTTTTGAAAACTGTATAACCAGTGTTAAAACAAAACAAAGGTTTATATTTTGAAATAGATTTTGGTTTTTTGATTTTTTTTGTTTTTATAATTTTAAAAATTTTTTTTTTTTTTTTTTTTTTTTTTTTTTCTAATTATTAATTTATAAAATTAAATTATAGCACCTTTTTAAAAGATTATTATATGATTTAAAGATTAATCATACATTTTTTTAGATAAAAATATTATTTAAAAAGAAATTATAATTTAAATTATAAAATGATATATATATATATATATATATATATATATATATTTATAGTCATTAAAATAAAAAGATTCACACACACACATATATATATATAATTATACATATATAATTATTCTATTTCCATTAAAACAATTTGATCGTTTTTAAGTGAATTTTAGTTTTTAAGGATTAGAATTAATAGAGAATAGACAAGCTTTAACAAGAGAAATTTTGTTCATCTGATAGTAATGTCCAAGATACTTAATAATAGCTTGTTGGATCTATTTCATATCAAAACTCAATAAGAAACATCCATAGTGTCTTTATATTTTAAAATTAGAGTATAGATTCCTCAAATATTATTTAATGCAAAGTTATGGTTGATTAAGATTTTTAACTTATCTAAAATTTACTTAATTTGTATAATAAGCTATTTTTATATTTTTAGAAATTGATAAAGTTAAAAGACATTCTTAAAAATAATAAAATATTATTTTTGTAGAAGTAGAAAATAAGAAGAATAATTACTATTTATTCCTTTGTATGTTTTTATACACCATGTATTAACTAGTATTTTTTGCAATAATATTTTTGTCTGACATTTATTTTAATCTATTTAATAATACACAATTATCCAAGCGATATTGAAACAATTAATTTTTTTGTAAATATTAATTATATTATAAAAAAATTAATTGGACCTTGTGAGTAAAATAATTAATTATGATTTCAAACTTGAAGTCATTGCCAAAAGGTGTTCAAATTGATTTACTTATTTTATCAAGATTAAACCTCTCTTATAACTATTTAAGAAACTATAGATATTTTGGTTATTTTGAATACCTTATTGTAGAAAAAATTTACTAATCTATTTTTAGATCTAAGATAATATAAAAATTTATGATTATTTATAAATTTATATTATATATTAGATATATTATTTTTCATATTATTATTTAATAATTAAATCAGTATTAGATTTTTTATTTTTAAATAATATGATAGAATCATGTTCATATTTGATGTTAATCAATTAGTTGGCATCTTAAAGTAAATTAAGGCTTTTAGTATTTTCTTCAAAGATTGAGCTTTTTGAATTAAATTTTAGAATTTTTCTTGCTATTAGGTGTAAGTAGAAAATTTAAAAATATCCTTCTAAATTTATGGATGTTTTGTTTGATGGTGTACTATTGATATTTTTTATGACTTCTATTCTTTTATAAAGTATTTGGATTATATTAAAAAAAATTAATCTAATGCCAAAAACTTTTATAATTAAAAAAAATCCTATATAATGTAATTATTTGCCTAAATGAAGTCATTTGATGATCAACCTATAAGATATTATGTAATTACTTATTGCTATTTACTTCTATTAGATTCTACTAAATCTAGATAAATATGTATGTTCATAAAATTATCTTTGCACTACCTTCAAAAATAAGTTATTTAAGAAGAAATAATCACATATTAAGAAATTTCAAGACACAATACATTATACTTATCACGTTCTTTATTCTTTATTTTTTTTAAAGGTAGTTGAGACTTAATAGCTATTAATAGTATTTTATATTAAATTTAAAGGCTAATCTAATATTTAATCATTATCAAAGTCTTTGTAACTTTATCCAAATTAAACATTTAAAACACTATTAAGAATGGTCCATATTTCCATTAATATCATTACACATCGAAAGTTTCTTTTGAGGTCATGATACTAAATACATTATATCTTGTCATTTATTGAAGGAAGAACATGTTGTACTTGGAGGTCTTAATATCGATTACGTTGTCATGAAGGTTATAAAAATCTCAATGCATCATCTAATAACTCCAAAGATAATAGATCTTATATTAAATTTGGCAATTGTTGTTTCTTTATCTTAGCATGATAAATACACAAAAACTACAAATAAAAATAGAAGATAAAATAACTTTTTTATTGATTTTTTTTTTCACAAAAGAATTTTTATACTCTTTATCTTTGTTTTGATGGATATTATTGATGAAAAACATCAACCTTCTTTGTCACATATGTAAGATTCCTTTATAGCTCATATATGAGTTCACTAATATCATATTTGTGCTACTATATAAGATATTTTTAACCTATTTTGGTATTGCCTTGAGTCCAAGACTTTTTTAGCCTCCAATTCTTAATTATTGTCCTCTTATACAGGAAGAAGTGGCATTTATCTTCTTCCAAAAACATCCATTGTCTTATACAACTAAAGAATGAATATATGGAATATAAGATGGATCTTTATAGACTTTGGTAGATGTAATTAATATGCAGCAAGATTGATTTCTTTAAAAATAAAAAATAGGCATGATCTATAATAATTCAACTCATCATAAGAACAAATAGTCTTTAT